TTTTATACCAGGGATTGGAACTCAGGCCCTTGCACTTGCAAGGCAGGTGGTGAAACCACTGATCTAAATCCCTGGCCCACTTCCCTTTCAATTTCATCAAAGATTTTGAAGAGTAGGGGCATTAGGCCTTCTCTAAACTTTTTTGGACAATTCAGCGGTGAATCTCTCCAGACCTGGACTTTTCTTTGTTGGTAGTTTCTTCTTCCTCGTCCTCCTCCTCCTCCTATTTCATTGACTGATATTAGCTTATTTATAATTTTTATATCTTTTTGATTCAGCTTTGGTAATTCATATGTGTCTAGGAATCTGTCCATTTCTTCCGAGTTTTCCATCTTATTAGAGTACAGGTCCTCAAAGCAGGTATTGGTGATCTTCTGGGTTTCTGTAGGATCCATTGTGATTTCATCCTTTTCATTCCTAATTACATGAATTTGCAGTGGTTTTTGTTCTTTCCTCCTTTGTTTCTTTTTTGATAAGGTTAAAGTTTGTCTATTTTATCTTTCAAAGAACCAACTCTTTGATTCATTAATTCTTTGTATTGTTTTCTTAGTCTCAAATGCATTAATTTCTGCTCTGATCTTTATAATTTCCTCCTTTGTGGAAAGGTGGGTTTAGTTTACTCTTCTTTTTCTAGAACCTTGAAATTCAACATTAGGCGGTTTCGTGGGTTTTTGTTTTTTTGTTTGTTTGTTTGTTTGTTTTTCCCCCAGTGCTTGGGATTGAACTCAGAACCTTGGGCTTGTAAAACAGACCCATAGTCACTGAGATAACTCTTTTTCTGATGTGGGAATTGATCATTATAAACTTCCCTCATAGGATTGCTTTCATTGCATCCCATAAGTTCCAGTACATTGTACTGGCATTAACATTTAATTGTTCAAACTGTCTAACTCCTTCATCATCTGTGACCCACTGGTTATTCAGGAGGGTGTTGTTTAATTTCCATGTGTTTATGTAGCTTTGTAGTTTCTTTTGCCATTGATTTCCAATTTCATTGCAGTATGATCTGATGATATGCATGGGAAAATTTCAATTCCTTTGCATTTACTTAAGTAAGCTTTATGAGCTAGTATGTGGTTTACTTTGGAGAAAGTCCCGAGTGTAGCTGAGAAGAATGTGTATTCTGTTATTGTAGAGTGCAACACTCTGTAGATATCTACTAAGACCATTTGTTCAAAGGTTCGGTTCAGCTGTGATATTTCTTTGTTGATTTTTTGCCTAATTGATCTTTCTCTTTGTGACAGTGGGGTACTGAGGTTACCCCATTACAGTTATACTAGTGCTTACCTGATTTTTCATATCCGTTAATATTTGTTTTATATGGTTGGGTGCATCAGTATTTGGTGCATATATATTTATGATTGTCACCTCTTCCTTTTGTACATTCCCTTAACAAGTATGTAGTGGCCTTTTTGTCTTCTGATCAGGCTTGGCTTGAAATGAACTTTTGCCACAAACAGAATAGCTACTCCTGCTTTTTACTGGTTCCTGTCACACAGAGTACTGTTTTCCATCCCGTGACTTTCAGTCTATGAATATCTTTTCTAGTTAAATGTGTTTCTTGTATGCAGCATATTTGTTGGATCTTGTTTCTTAATCCATTCTGTCAATCTGTTTCTTTTGATTAGTGAGTTGAGACCATTCACATTGATGGTTATAACTGATATGTATTGACTTATCCTTGTCATATTATTTTCCTGTTGCTGGTTGTCTTTCTTTCCCTTCTGTTTAATTGCTTGCCTTATCTGGTGGATTCATTATTTTGGGATTCTTGGAATTGTCTTTGTTGTCTTTTACTAGAATACCCTTCAGATCTTTTTTGAGTGCTGGTTTGGTGGTCATGAATTTCTTCAGGTGCTCTTTATCAAGGAATTATCCCACTTCTCCAACAGTTTTGAAAAGTAATTTTGTGGAGTACAGCAATGTGGGTTGGAGGTTGTTTGCTTTTAGGGTTTAAATACAGTGCTGCCTCTATTCATGAACTTAATTTCACAACTTTGGTGGCAACCAATTGGTCATGAACTGAATCAAATTTCTCCAAAAGGTCAACATTGAAACTAATCACTGGGGCCGGGGATATAGCTCAGTGGTTCTGCCTCTGCCTTGCAAGCACAAGGTCCTGAGTTTTCACAGTACCAAAAAAAAAAAAAAAAAAAAAAAAAAAAAAAAAAAAAAAAAAAAAAAAAAAAAAAAAGGAAAAAAGAAAGAAATCATTGATTTTTGTTTTCAGACAAGGTATTGCTCTATAGTTTAGGCTGGCCTTCAACTCACAGTGATCCTTCTGCCTCAGCCTCCCAGGTGCTGCAATTACAGGCACATAACACCACAACTGGGTAACCATTAAATTTGCTTTGGTTCACAATCAATTTGTTTTGTGATTAGAATCATGGAAAGAATTAAGTTCATGAACCACAATACCACTATACTTCACTCCAAGCTCTCCCTGACTTAGGGTTTGAGTTAAGAAGTCTGCTGTGATTCTGATGGCTTTTCCTTTACAGATAATTTGCTTCTTTTCACTAACAGCTTTTAATATTCAGTTCTTGTGTTGAATTTGTGGAATGTTGAGTATTATGTGCCTTGGTGTAGTTTTTTCTGATCATGACTATTTGGAGTTCTATATGCCTCACTCATCTGTATCTCAAGTTCTTTTTCCACGATTGGAAAATTTTCTTCTATTACTTCTGCGAACAGATTTTCTTTTATGCCTGTTGTGCTATCTTCTGATTCTTCATTAATTCAAATTAATCTTATTCTTCTTTGCATCATCTAGCAGCAATTGAATTGATTTTTCATGGTCTCTTGCTATTTTTAAGTGGTCTTTCATTTTATGATCACCAACCACAAGCCTGTCTTCTAGATCTGATATTCCATCTTCAAACTGATTGACTCTGCTGCAGAATTTTTAATCTCTTGGACTTCTATTTGAGTCTGTTTTATGGAATCCAGTTATTTCCTGTGTTGGCCATTCAAGGTTTCCATGTCTTTCCTAAGCTTCTCTATTATTTTTAAACTATATCTACTCTAGATTCACTAATCATTTCCTTCATTATGGTCATTATCTCTTTAATTACCTCTAGTCTGTTTTTGATGTTTTGTTACTTCTGTTGCCACCATTTCATAATATTCACCTTGCATGTTTCTTTATTTCTTCTACCTGAATGCTTCCTTGATTTGCCTTGGGTGAGTTAGGCATATGGGTTGCATCTTGCTTCTGTGTTTTCTCATTTTCTTTCTTTCTTTTTTTCTATTTATCTTCTTGAGGCTGGTACATTGATTATGGTAGGTAGCTTTCTTACTTGAGGCCCTTTAGGAAATGACTACATTTCAGGGATATCTTCTAAGCATCGCTGGCTTTTAGCTTTTGAGTCTGTTCCAATTTATTAGGGAAAAAAAGGTTGCTGTCTGTTTGACCTAACATCCAGTTCTTTGATACTAGACCATAGTATTGTTTATGACCCTAGACAATGTATGCATTGGCATACAAGGAAGATCATTTGATCACAACAACTAAAGTTGGCTAAAGTAGTACAATCAGTAAAAACAATAATATCAAGCACAGACTAGAAAATGAACAAAATGATAACTATTAATTTGCCAACTTTGCTTTTTTTTTTTTTTTTTTTTTTTAGGATCAAACTCGGGTCTTTGTGCTTGTGAGGCAGGCAGTGGTACCACTGAGCTAAATCCCAGGCCCTAATTTGCCAACTTTAATCATAGATACAAGATTTATAGTTATATAACTATAAGACACATCAGACGTTTATATACAGTACATATCCACTTAGTAGAACTATTTTACCTTAAGAGGAGAAAATTCAAAAGGGATAAGTGGGAAAAATAGATAAATAAAAGAAAAGAAAGAGATTAGAAGTAAGCCTGAAGGACAGAGGAGATTACCCAAGCCTTGGGAAATTGCTGAAGACGACAGGAGGGAAAGAACAAAGGAAAAACAAACACAAGAACAAAACAAAACAAAAAACCCCTAAAAACAATGTTCACACTCACAAAAAAAGAAAAGCAAAGAAAAAAAAACCCAAATTCCACTGTGATTTCAAGCACACACCTGTAATCCTTCACAGGCACTCTACCACTGAGCTATACCCCTAGTCCGACACACCTGTAACACCCGGGGAGGCAGGAGGACTGCAAGTTAAAACACACTCCATGAATCTGCACAAAGACCTTATACCTTTCAAAAAAATTCAAAATGGATCATAGACATAAATGTCATATACAAAACCATAAAACTCCTAGAAGAAAAACACAGAATCTAGACAACCTCGGGCTGGGTGACTTAAGATATGACACCAAAAGCACAATATGGAAAGAAAAAAATTGCTAATTTGAGCTTTTTTAAAATTAAAAACTCTTCAGATATGAGCAGTAGGTAGAACATGGATAACATTCACGGCAGCTCCAAAGGGTGTTTAGCTTCCACTCCCAGATTAAGACCTGATGCTCCAAGGATGGTAATAAATCCCAACAGCTGACATGCCAGGATACCATAAAAACCAAGACAGGAAAAGGGAGAGATCCCTTGTTTCCTAGGGGAGTAGAATTGCTCCTGTCACAAAAACCACAATATGCTTGATACTTTTATTTTTGTTTTTGTTTTTTTGGTTTTTTGAGACAGGGTCTCACTGTGTAGTTGAGACTGGCCTGGAACTCACTATGTAGCCCAGGCTGGTCTGGGCGATCCCCCTGCCTCAGCCTCCTGAGTGCTGGGATTACAGGCGTGCACCACCACGCCCGGCCTTGATATTTAAATCAGACAAGTCAACAATTGCTCTTACACTTGCCTCACAGATGCTTTGTTGTCCACCAGCTTGCAGCCAAAAGGCTGGGAGCAGGGCTGGAATCCAGCCACTGAGGACCCTGACTTTTATTGCTCTGGCCAAGCCGGAAGTTTCTAGAGCTTCTTGAGTCACCATGGTCACCTGCAGGGAATGACCAGCTGTTGGGAAGGCCTTTTTGGTAAACTGGATTTATCCTTTGTGTTATGGTCTTGCCCTGATACTTAAACCCAGTGCAGAAACTCAAAATTCACTGTGAAATCACTGGGTATGACACGGTATTTATAATTTGTTAATTTTTGTGGTGCTGGAGATCAAACCCAAGTCCTTGCAATGCAGCCAGCCACTCTATCAGAGAGCTACCCTCGACACACAACCAATTATTTTCCTTCTTTCCTTCTGTGTGTGTGTGTGTGTGTGACACCGGGGATGGAAACTAGACCTTTCTCACCGAGATACATCCATAGCCCTTTTAAAAATTATTTATTATTATCATTATTATTTTGAAAACATCAAATTGCCCAGGCCAGGCTCCATTCTGTAGTCCTCCTGCCTCAGCCTCTCAGAGTGCTGGCATCACAGGTGTGCACCATCACACCTGGCAGAACTGAATTTTAGTGCTGGATTTGTACCCTGCAGCTCTGCCAGCTCTTCTGTGGAATGGATGGATTATCTCCATCTAGGACCAAGTCATCTATGAGCAGAGGCAATTTCCCTTCTTCTTTTTGCATCTAGGTGCCTTTTACTCCTCTCCTTGCCTAGCTTTTGGGGAGGACGCCCAGTATTAAGTTGGATAGAAGTGGTAGGGGCAGGCATTCTTGCCTAGTTCTTAATTCAGAGGAATAACTGTTTTCACCACTAAGGCTAATGCTGGTTATGGACTTTTCATACGTGACTTTTACTGTGTTGAGGTAATTTCCTTAGATTCCTAGAATCTTGACTGTTTTTACCATCAAAGTAGATTTAATTTTGTCAAGTGCCTTTCCCATATCTGTTGAGATGACTGATTTTTGTCTTTTGTTCTGTTACTGTGGCATATTACACTAATAATTGTACACTGACCAATCCTTGTGTGCATGGTATATGATTTTTTTTTCAGTACCAGGGATCAAACTGAACCTAGGTGCTCTACCACTGAGCTGCATTCCCAGTCCTTTTTTATTTTTATTTTGAGACAGGGTCTTACTAAGTTGTCCAGGGCTGGCCTGACTTTCAATCCTCCTGCCTCTGCTTTTTTGCACCACTGCACCCAGCACGTTGAGGGTTTGGAGGGATACTGGTCTGTAGTATTCCTCTTGTGGTATTTTTGTCTGGAGCTGGTATTAGGGTAATGCTGGCCTCGTGAATTTGTTTTTTTGTTTTGTTTCACTTTGTGTTTTTGAGACAGGGTCTCACTATGTAGTTGAGACTGATCTGGAACTCACTATGTAGCCCAGGCTGGTCTTGAACTCCCAGTGATCCTCCTGCCTCAGCCTCTCAAGTGCTGGGGTTACAGGCGTGCGCCACCACGCCCAGCTTGGCCTCTGAATTTGAAAGTGTTCCCTCTTCCTTTAATTTTTGGAAACAGTTTGAAAAGCACTGTTAATTCTTCCTTAAATTTGGAAGTACTCTCCAGTGAGGCCACCTGATCTTGGGCTTTTCTTCAGGGGAAGTTTTTAATTACTGATTCACCCTCCTTCCTAGTTATAGGTCTATTCAGATTTTTAAATGCTGTCTTTCTAGGAATTTACCCATTTCTTGCAGCTTGTCCAATTTGTTGGTAAATAACTGTAAAGTCTCTTATAATCCTTTTCTGTGGCATCAGCTGTACAACCATTCATTTCTGATTGTAGTTACTTCAATGTCTTTTTATTATTTGGCTAAATGTTCACCAACTTTGCTGATTTCCTTCAAAAGCCAACTTAATTTCCTTTTTCCTATTGTTTCTCTATTCTCTATTTGTTTACTTCTGTTTGAGTCAATTATGTCCTTCAACCTACTAACTCTGGGCCCGAGCTGTTCTTTGTGTGGTTCCTTGAAGTATAAAGTCAGGTCATTGAACTCTTTATTCTTTTTTAATAAAGGCACCTATAGCTATAAAAATCTCCCCATAAGCACTGCTTTCATGGTATCCTCTCAGCTTTGGTCTGCTGTGTTTTAGTTTTCATGCCTGAGAGATTTTTCTAATTTCCCTTGTGATTTCTTCTGGGACTCAGCAGTTATTTAAGAGTACATTATTTAAGCTGGGCGTTGTGGCACACACCTGTAATCCCAGCACTCGGGAGGCTGAGGCAGGAGGATCGATGTGAGTTTGAGAGCAGCCTGGGCTACATAGTGAGTTCCAGGTCAGTCTCAACTACATAGTGAGACCCTGTCTCAAAAAACCAAAAAAAAAAAAAAAAGTATATTATTTAATTTCCATGTACTTATACATTTCTCACTCAGTTTTCCTTCTACTACCGATTGCTAGTTTTGTTCTATTATGCTCTGTGTGTGTGTGTGTGTGTGTGTGTGTTTGTGTGTGTTGGAGACCAAACCCAGGACCTGCTGTGTGCCGAGCACGTGTCCTACATCTATGAGAAACTACATCTCTGGCCAGAGAGAAGATACTTTTCATGATTTCAGTCCTTTTAAATGTACTGGCACTTGCTTCATAGAATGATATTTCACAAATGGCAATAGCCTGTTCTGTTTGCTTTTTTGTTTGAACACTTATTATTACAGGGTTATGGGAAATTAAATATTAAAGACACTTGTCAGTTCTGAGAAAAGGCATCACAGACTCGGGTCAGCTGCACACAGCGTGCCCTGGCGTGGCGGACAAAGTCCCATATGAAGCGGTAACAGCACAGCACACACACACTGCTCACATCGTGTTCGAAAGCACCGCTTGATTTTCACCGCAAACGTCAAGGAGGAAAAGCAGCCCACTGCAAGGGCCATGGAGTTCAGAGGGGAGAGGGCGCCCAGACCTGGACTCAGGCCAGCTGGGGTGGAAGCTGGGTTTTTCATCCCGCCAGCTGAGTGATCCTGGCAAGGTATGTGACTTTGCTGAGCTCTTTATTCACTTGCAAAGTGGGGACACTAATAATTTCTGGGGTCTGTACCTTAAGTCAGGACTAGCTGCAATCTCATCCTAAAAGTGATCACCTCGCCAGGCCAGGCTTGTTTAGCCCACAAGTACTTACTGAGTATTTACTGCAGCATCAGGTATGCTCTGGGTGCTGGAAACAGTGGTGAACCAGGTGGCCTGCCTCTCTCCTGGGTGGGGCAGACAAGAGATGAATAAACAAACAGCAATTTTTACAGTCAGATGGTGGTCAGGGCCAGGGGAGGAGGACAGGCACGCCAGGCTGGAGGTGCCCCTTCTACCCTAGGAAGCGTGAGCCGGCAGCTCCTGATGTCCGGTGAGCCCAGAAGGAAGTGGGAGCGTGGGCCAACCGGAGATGTGGGCAGAGGTCCCAAGACATAGCACACGTGGCCTGGTGCAGCCAGGACTGGAATGCGGAACTGGCCAGCAGTTTCGGACTGCAGATTCTACTGTGAGCGAGAGGCGAAGCCCTTTAGCGGGTTCAGAACAACCGTGAGCTGATCTAAATGTCTTCAGAGGCCGTTCTGTGGGATGTGTTGGAAGAGCCTGTGGGTGGCGCAGGAGGCAGGATTGTGGGGCCTCCCAGGTCACATCTGCAGGTGACAAATGCTGCACCAGGCAGTTGGTGCCGGCAGCAGAGGCGTGGCTGGATTCTGGGCACAGGTGGTAAGATCGGCAGGTGGACGGAGCGAAGTGTAAGGGAAACAGACCGGAGGAGCCTGGGGCTGCTGCTGGGAAGGCGGTGGAGCGCCTTGGGCCTGTGTGAGGCGGGGCCCGGGGAGCGGCTCCGTGTGTTGATGTCCTGGTGTCCAGAGCCACCGGTCTGAGTGTCTCGAGGCGCATGGGGAAAGAGCGGACTGAAGCGCCCAGGGCTGCGACGCTCCAGAGCTCGGATGTCAGAGAGGAAGGGACACCAGCAAGTCTGAGGAGGGCCAGCGGAAGGGCAGGGCGGCGACTCCGGAGGGCAACAGCGGGAGCGCAGGAAGGCAGCCTTCGAGAAGCCTAGCACAGCGAACTGGCCCGACGCCGCCTTCCCAGGAGCTCCGCTGGCCGTGCGACTGTTACCGAGGCCAGGGGGACAATCGGAGATGCGCAGAGACGGAGCCTCTGGGGGGACTGGGGCTGTGGAGTCCGAATCAAGGAGACCTCACAGTTTTACTAGGTAGAGCTAGGATTGAACCGAAGGCCTTCCCACTGGGCTACGTCCTCATTCACACTCACTCGTTCACAGACAGGGTCTCCCTGGTCGCTAAATCGCCCAGGCTGGGCTGGAACTGCAATGCTCCTGCCTCAGCCTCTCAGAATACTGGGATTATGGGTGTGTGCCACCAGGCCCAGCTTAGGGGAGCCATTTCTGAAGCCCCCCTACTCTTAAAAGAGACATCGCAACCTTCCTGTTTTACTGTCCTAAGGAGCTTGGAGCTACTCCTTGAGGAAGCATTTTCCAAATTCCCCAGTGGATTTTACCAACTCTAAAAACCAGACCGGAATAAATACCTTCCTCTGTTATTACCCGGGGGACCCCAAGGGGGCAGTCTCACCGCATCGTGCATCTCCTTCGCTCGAGGGGGCGTTCACCAGCAGGAGGGCGGCACTGGGTCAGGGAGCGAGGCGGCAGAGGGGCCGGTGAGGAACCGAGAGGCTCAGACGGGAGCCAGGCGTTCCTGGCCCTGCAGCTCTATCCTTGCGGCTCTGAGCAGGTCACGCTGCATCTCTGGGTGTCTCTACATTAAAGTACGGCTTTATGGATGAGGGAAATGAGCTAGACTCAGGAAAGTGCTGCAGGATCTCAGTCCCCTGTGGGACCCTGAAGGAGAGAAACCCACGGAAGAGGGAGTGGGGAGGCTGCCCCGCATAGTGCCCCAGCTGAGACCATTGTACTGTCTGCCCAACCCTGCTAGGAGGGCCCATCGTAAAAGAACCGCCCCGATAAAATAATAATAGTAAAGCGGGTAGGGATTCACCATTTATGGCAGGACAGTGGCGAGGGATTCACAGGTGTAAACTGACCCGAGCTCATCAAGAGGCATGAAATACATACAGCTTTTTATACCTCAAAAAGGAAAGCCAAGTGTGGCGGTGCACAGCTGCAATTCCGGCTACCTGGGAGGCTGAGGCAGGAGGATTGAAAGTATAAGGCCAGCCGGGGCAACTCAGTAAGATCTCATCTCCAAAGAACAAGGACTGCAGACGCAAATCCGTGGTCGCATCCTTGAGCTCCATCCCCAGTACCATAATAATAATAATTTTTTAAATAATCAAAATTTAAAAAATAACATGGGCTACGAATGCAGCTCCGTTGTAGAGCACTTGCTAAGACCACACACCAAAAAAGGAAAATAAATAAAAACAAAATAAAAATGATTTCCGAGTGACCTGTGGGCCCCAGGATCGTCCGCGAGCCGCGGAGAACCTGGGCACGCGGTCAGCCATATCCATACCGGCGGGAGGCTCGAGCAGCACCGCTGCAGCACGTTTGGAACTCGACCTGCTCACTTGCCCACTGTACCTGCTGGGCACCTACTTTGTGCCAGGGACAGTGAGGCGCTGGGGGCCCAGGGGAGACCCAGCACACCTCATCTGGCCTCGGAAGGCATGGCCCCAGCAACTGCAAAGGCTGCTCTTTTGGCATCCTCACCCCGGGTGGCACAGGGTCACCAGGTGAGTCACACGCGTCACCACCCCTCCTGCCTCCACTCCCAGCCTTCTGTGCCCCGCTGGACAGGCCCCTTCCCGGCTAGCTGCGCAGCACCCCGAGGGCTGGCCCACACCTGAGTCCCTGCTTTCCAAGTCCCAGGCCTTCCTCTCTCTCATTGTGGGCACTCGTTCTGCTGAAGTAGATACCTGAGAAGGGGCGTGGGGAAGACCTCAAACTCACAGCAACCCTCCTGCCTCAGCCTCCCAAGTGCTGGGATTACAGGTGTGTGTGCCACCACGCCTGACTACCCTTGGGATTTTTCAGGGCAAATCTGCCCACTTCTTATTGCCCCTTTAAAAAACACTTAGGTTATAATTTATGGTCTCTTGTCAGACTCTGTTATTCCATTTTTACATAAAAATTTAATTTTCACCTGCAGATGTCTTTGACCTTTTAAAAAATCTTTGTAGGCTCAAGCCTTTAAAATTCTCTATTGCCATTTTAGTGGAGGTTGGGACAAAGTATTTATTTTGTTTACTTCAAATTCTTTGCCACCTGCCTCTCAAGGGCAAGGTCCTGAGTTCATCCCAGTACCAAAAAACAAACAAACAAAATTCTCGGTGGGCTTCCGGCAATCTGTCATAGAACACCGAAGCAATGCAGTTTCCATGAATGGCCACACGTTGGCGCTGCGACTCTATATTTAATTTATAGTTTTTTCCTACATAGGAGTGACAACCTCCAGCCAATTCCAAGTAGGAATGAGTTCAAATTAAGCCAGCAAAGGAGTCACAGAATCATAGACTATTTTCACCAGACAAGGTCTCGTAGGGCTTTCCATACACTCTCGAGAGACAAGGAATTGGAGACCCACAGGAGTTGGCCTGTTTATCCAGTATCCGGAGGTAGTCGATAAGAACTACTTGGATTTTAAATGCTCTTTTAGAAACTTCTAATTGGCCAGGTGTGGTGGTGCATGCCTGTAACCCCAGTAAGCTGGGAGGCTGAGGGAGGAGGATTGCAAGTTTGAGCCCAGCCTGGGCAACTTTGCAAAAGACCCTGTCTCAAAAAGGGGTACCAGGAAAAAAAGTGTTTATAATTGAAGTTGTTTTTAAATTGGAATACAAGCTGGGCATAATAGCATGTGCTTGTAGTCCAGCTATTTGAGACACTGAACAGAAAGTTCTGTAAAGCCCTGGAATCCTAGGCCAGCCTGGGCAACACAGTAAGACACCGTCACACACACACACACACACACACACACACACACACACACACACACACAAGCCATTCACATGCACCCACACGGCACCAAGGTATTTAGATAGCTGAGGCAGGATTCCAAGTTTGAGGCCAGTCTGGACAATTCAGCAATACCTTGTCTCAATATAAATAAAAAATAAAAAAGGACCAGGAATGTAGCTCATTGTTTCTTGGATTCAATCACCAGTACTGCAAAATAAATTTTAAAAAATTGTTTTTGTTGTTTTTTGAGACAGAGTCTCACTATGTAACGCAGGATGGCCTCAAACTCATGGTGATCCTCCTGCCTTAGCCTCACACATACTGGGATCACAGGTGTGCACCACCATGCCCAACTAAAAAAAATTTTTTTGAGACCAAGTCTCCCTACGTAGTTCAGGCTGGCCTCGAACTCACTACAAAACAACTTTTGTTTAAACTGTGAATGCATATTCAAATGTGGTGGCGTACCCCTGTAATCCCAGAATTCAAACTACTCTTCTGGGAATGAAGGCAGAGTCCATCTCTCCCTGCTAGGGGTGAGTGGTAGGATTTGGGCTGGCCTTCCTCCACCATTTATGAGTAAGAGTCTCTTAGCCCCTGTGTGTGTGTGTGTGTGTGTGCGTGCGTGTGAGATGGTACTGGAGATTGAACCCAAGATCCTTGCTACATCCCTACCAACCCCCTACCTCCTTTTTTCTTGACAAAAGGTCTAAAACATTGAGCTACAAGGCTAAACTGAAATTTGAGATCCTCCTCCCACCTCAGGCTCCCAGGACACTCAGATTACAGCAGTACATCACAACTGGCCACCAGACTTTTAAAATCATTATTACTTATGTATTTGTTTGAGACCCTGGCTCAAATTTGTGGTGACCCCTACTCTGCAGCCTCCCAAACGCTGGGATCACAGGTGTTCTACCATACCCGGCTTTCAGACCCCCCCCCCTTTTTTTGCGTAGTGGGAATCTAACTCAGGACCTTGCGCCTGCCAGGTAGACATGGTGCTACTGAGCTACATCCCCGGCCCCAGACCCTTCTAAGAAATGTCCTCAACTGCTGAAATCAGCCCAAGGTGTTTTTCACAAAAACATTGATGGGTGTTAACCCAAACATAGTGAAAGCTGGTGGATCACCTGGGAAATCAGCGTAAGTGCGGAACTGGCGCAGCGGGGACTTCAGGGGGCCCTGAGCTGCCGCATGGCGGAGGTAATGGATTCATCAGCAGAGGTCTCCACACCCCATGTTCAGAAAACACAGGAAAATCACAGGCCATCTGGAGTTCGAACTCGAAAACGTGATCCTTACCCTAAGGATTTATTCTGTCATCAGGTGTTTCTCCTCCAGGTCAGGCTTCAGTGGTAGTGGTGCGAGGAGCAGGGCTGCCACCGTCTGAACGCGGGGACTCAGGGTTACCGGCACCAGCCCGGTAACTCACCTGCCGCCCAGTCTGCATCTTCTGCTCCACGTCTCACTGCGGTCAGCTGGGCACCTCCCAGGCCCACATACATCACGTCTGGGACTCACGACGCGACACCAAGCGGCTGCAGAGCACAGGGGAAACAGCCTCTCGCGCGAGTCCCGTTGCAAAGTACCGTCGGCCCCGCTGCTCGCGCCGCTGGTGTCCAAAGCAAACGGGCCTGGGCCTTCCTTCTTCATCGGACGCTAAAACCCTCCGCTCCGAGCGCTGGGGACGCTTACCCTGAACCAACTGCTCTCCTCGGCAGCCCCAGTCAAGAGGCCGAGACTACTTCGGAATCTAAGGAGAACGTGGATCCCCCTGGAAGGAGCAATACGTCCTGCGCGTAGTAATAAGAGCACCACAAAGCTACAAACTTCGACTGCACTACTTCAGCTCCAGAGACGCCATCTCCAACTCCCCCGGCGTCCCGCTGGCGCCCACTACTGCGTAAGCAAACGTGACTGACAACTCTGCCCTGGAGACACACTCCCTTCTGTTTACTGACCCTGAGGTAAAAGTTCCCGAGTTCTGGGCCCGGGATCTAGCTCAGTGGTTCTGCCGCCTGCCTCGAAAGGGCAAGGTCCCGAAAATAAATGAAAGTTGTGCGTTTGGGGCCAGATTCTTTCCTTAGTAACGCTTCCGCCTTAGTCCCACGCAAGGGGAAGGCATGGCCTCCCTGCCCCGCAGTTCAGGGGCCCCACAAAGCACGGCTTTGCTCTCAACCCTCACCCCAGTCTTCCATCACAGGCTACCTCACATCCACCAAGGAAGCTGCCTCCTCCCCCCTCCTCTCCATCTTGCCTTATTTTACCACTGGCACTACCCCATCTATTATCAAGCAACAAAAGTCCTCAAAGTACTGCCCCAGAAAGCCAATTACGGAATTGTGACGAACCGCGACTTATGTTAACATTCAGCCAAAAGACGGTTTGGGCAAGAATGAAACAATGTAAAATCACCAAGGTGGTGAAGGGTAATGCAGATTTTCAAGTACGCAGCAGGCTCACAAGAAAATACTTTGTCCCCTTTCCAGATGTCCCTCTAAAACCATTTAGCCAGGTTGTGCGGAATCCTCAGTGACAATGTGGAACCCTGCCAATGTCTTCTCTCCCAGCCAGCACTCCTCACCATGGCTCCCCACTGCCATCACAGGGCCCAGCGGCAGGTGCCTTCGGCTTCTCACAAAGCCAAGCCTCCCTTGCTTCTGCGATGCCCTCCCTGCTCCACCCCAACCTAGCCGCCTGAGTCCCAGCTCTTCTCCCGGTACAACTTGGTCTTCTATTAACACAGAACGTAAAATCTCAATCAGGACTATTTGATTACTTTTGCTTTTTCGTTTTTTGGAGACACGGTCTTACTAGTTAGTCCAGGCTGGCCTTGAATTTAGTGTTTCTCCACCTCAGCCTGGAGTGCTGGGATCACAGGTGTGCACCACCACACCCGGGTTTTCTTTTTCTGAGACAGATCATAAACTTAAAAGTTAGACTGTTTCCCTCTACCAATCTCAAAGGTGGAATCATAGGCCTTGCCCTAGACACATGACAGATACGTGGAGGGGCACATGACAATGTTAAAAACACTCCAGGTGATGAAGACACTGCAGTCTCCTCAGCGCGTCCTTCCCACAAATATCTATACCAACAAATATTTATCTTTATTAAATGGTGAGGCCTTAAGGTAGTACTGAATATTTCCCAATAGCCAAAAATGCTGCTATGATTCCCCAAGCAGTAGGAAATTCTTTACACGTTCAGGTCAGAGCTCAGCCATTGCCAAAATAAGCACACAGCCTCCCAATCTGGCCTGCCCACTCCAGGGCCCCAGGCAACCTGCCGCTTCAGCTGCAAATGGCCCAGCACATGGGTGTTCACTGGAAGTGACAGGCACTGTGGCAGCTCTGTCTTTACCCAGGGGACTGTGCTTCAGCATCCTAGCGACCCCTGTTTATAGTTCCTTCCAAAGGCAATTCTTGAAATTGCCTTCTCAGCTTTCCATAGGCTGAGAAAATTATTTCCCTTCTATTTCTAAAACTTTATATGTAATTTTTTCTGCTACTGCACATTGTTTTCAGAAAAAAATCCTTCACCTCCAAATTCCATGAATAAATGAAAACCAAGCCACACAGTTGGAAATCAAGTTTTGTTTTTATATGAACAGAAGTAGACCATCTAGAAATAGTTCAGTTTATTTAAATTGTTAAGTAGGATATGAAACCGAATTTGTAGCCAGTACCAGAGAATGGACTCAGCTGTTCAGTGTTTAATAAGAACAGCTTCTACATAGGGTCCCAAGAGACTTACAGAAATGGGCAAAGCCCTAATATTAAGCAAATAAAATTCATGTTTTAAACAGATTATACAAAAATTGATTTATACTCCATTTCCCTTTTTTTGATATTTAGAAAGTGCAGATTTAACAAAAGGTAGCCATATCCTTTCTATGTACAATGCCGATTATAATTATGCAAACAAAACTGTCAGTCTGTTACCCAAAAATCCCAGTGTTTAGCTCTCAAACCTTAAGTCAATGAATTGAATAAGGATTCAAAGAGGGTTAAAAGTTGGAAAGAAAAAAAAAAAAACTACTGCCACATTCCAGATAAAGGGAAGGAACAAATACATTAATCTAACCACAGAAGGTTTAACCTAAAACTTATCAAAAAGCTTTCATTTCATTTAGTGGAAAATTAACAATTATTTGGCAATGCTGCTTTTTACTAGTAAATAATGATAAAGTCAAGGAAGGGCAAAACCTAAGAACGACAACAACAACAACCACCAATGAGGCATATATAAAATTTTTAGGGCACTATCTGAAAAATTCATGGATTTTCATAACAGATATGTCCCTATGTTGTTTATGTGAGCCAAGAGGTCATTAAAATGTATGTCACAACACAGAGAGACTTTTCAATGGAAGCTGCTGTCCTAAACTCAGCCTCTGCTGGAAATGAATCATGCTATTCACAATTATTTCAACAAAGGTATCATCTTAGGATGCTAACAGCATAGCAAAGTTAATCATTACCCTATCCTAATGATAAGCAATGAAGCAAAACTAGAAAGATGAAAAGGATGGACAGGGTTAGAAACAGCTAGAGGTCTTATCTTAAATGAGAAGCCTTTTTTAAAGTCCTTTTTCTAAATCCATGGTAATATAAGTTTTCCAAGAGGATGCGGAGATGGGATTTAAAATTAATAATTTTCTAAGTATCTCTAAATCTTAAGGTAAAGACAACTTAACACTGAAAAAGTGTTCTTCAGAGGCCAAATCTCAATACATTTGGCAAACGTGTTAATAAAATTCACTCCTCCTTCCCATTTTTTAAAAAAGAGTTTTCACTGGGCTACCAAACTGCCAGAGGAGTTGCCAAAATGAAGAGTACTCAAATTTAGGTTAAGAGACTTATTCTAGGAAAGTGAGTAAGATATACACCTAATTAGAAGACAAACCACAACACCCTCCGAACACTAGTGCATGCAATTAGCTCTTCCATTTCATAAACTCAATGGGTAGACAAGAGAACACAGGAAAGAAGAACACAGAAGCGAAGCAGAATGAAGGAATTGGGGTCAGAGGTTTTAAGGGAGAGTAAATGAGGGGAAGACACCAATTAACTGACATGAATAGTAGGCAGTCAGAACTTGTCTTTTTAGTTTACTTATTAGCAAGTTAAATCAGTGCTTTATGTTAGGCTTGACAAACCTACTAGCTTGCCCCTTTCATTTCTAAATAACTCTTACCATAAGGCGGTAGGAAGGAGAAGTAAATAAAGTGGCATGCAAGAAGATGAGACGCATGGAAAAAGTGGCCAAGAACTGGTGGCAAGGAGAGTTTTAAATACCGAGGCCACTGAAAACGAGACTCAGCAATCCAAATCATTTCTGCGTTACCCTTTGTCCTCAATTAACTACTCTGAAAATTTCAGCCAAGCAAACCACAAATATTTTAATGGGTTATGTTGATGATATGTCTCCTGCACATGCTTCCACCAAAACAAAAAGGAAAAACCTTTCCACATAAGGCACAGGACAAAATTAACCCCATTTACTTATTCTAGTGTTTTCCTGGCTTCTGTTTGTTTCTTTTGCTATCACACATCTATAGATTATAGGGACTCAAGCACATTATCCATGACAGAAAATTCCACTGTTGTACAAAATAAAATTGTTAATTCTAACTTTTATTCTTATACAATTTGCAGAATAGAATTGAAATGATTGCTATAGGTTTTAAAGTTGATAAGAACTGGACTATAATACAACTGAAATGCAGTGGTGAGCTGAGCAAGTACATTTAAAATGAAGTCACAAACATGATTTTTCTATACATTGTTTTTGAAGGAAATTATAATAAAGTCAGCAAGCAGTCACAGATGAAAGGACAAATAAAATAGGTGGACTGAATAGTTAGGATGAGGAACAAAAATATCTGTTTAAGAGTTAAAAATGGCCAGAGTGGTTTATTTGCAGCAAGGAGAGAAACAGGTGGCGGATGGCGGCGGATGGAACAGGAGAACGCTCAGCAACATTTGCTCTTCCAGCCCGTGACGCCGCCTCCACTGCTGATATCTACATTTTCACTGTTGGGCTCTTTTACAGGGGTCTGGAACAAACACATAAGCAGAGTAACCCATGAAAACACAATGCCATCAAAGTCAAGATTCAACATAACATTTCTATTAGCTCAAAGTGTGCAAACGAGGCACTAGGTTTTTACCCCATGCGAAGTCAAGATTTGGAAGCTGGCTTGATCTTCATTTAGTCTGCATCCTCCCAGCTGTGAAATGTCACACCCTTAAGGACACTACGGAAACCATCTCTGCCCCTAATCATTCAGTAGATTTTCTTACCACTTCTGAACCACCAAGTACATTTAATACAAGCTGTATAAAACCAATGTTGGGTCATAGTCTAACTTTATTTTTTTTTCTTTTAAATTTTTTATTAGTATGTTTTGCCATACATAATGATCACAATCATCATGGTAAATTTGTACGTGTACATAATATATCTTATTTTTTCCCCATTCTCTTCTCCCTTCAACCCTTTTTTCCCTCCCCATGTACAAAAATGGGGAGTTGTCATTGTTTTTCTTCTATTCACTTTTTTTTTTGTACTAGAGATCGAACTCAGGACCTTGTGCTTGCGAGGCAGGCGGCGGAACCACTGAGCTAAGTCCCTGGCTCCACTAACTTTTTAAAATCCCCTTTTCCTTCTTCCCTTCCCTCTTGTTTCCCTTGCCATTTGAATAAGTTCTGTTTTGTTTTGTTTTGTTTTTACTTTCCAGTATCTATCCTCCATTTTGCTCCTTATTTACACTGGGTTTCTCACACAAGGGAAAGAATACGACACAAACTTGTGTCTCTAAATCATTTCACTTAAGATTAAGATTACAGATGCATCTGTTTACCTAAAAATGTCTCCATTTACCCTTCTTTACGGCACAGAACTCTTATTGTACATAAATACCACATTTATATATATTCTTTATCCACTCATCTGTCGATGGGCATGTGGGCTGTTTCCAAAATTTAGCTATTATAAATCGTGCTGCTATAAACATGTGCATGCATGTGTAGGTAGGATGTTTTTAACTCTTTCGGTAAGATACCTAGAAAGGGAAGAGCTGGGTCAAATGGGTAAACTAGTTAGATTTTTGGGGAGCCTCCACACAGATTTCTATCATGGTTGTACCAGTTTACACTCCCACCAACAGTGGAAAAGGGTTCCTTTTTCCCTATAGCCCTAGCCAGCATTTGTTATTGACTGATTTCTCGATCACAGTTATTCTTTCTGGAGTGAGATGGAATCTCAGGATTGTTTTGTATTTCTCAAATGACCACTGCTCAAGGGGTCATGCCTAACCTAAGAGAAGTGAAACAGCTATTTTCAGTGTAGTTACTTTCCTTTTAAAGCTTATATTTCTGCATCACTAATTTAAAAAGGCAAACAACTACACTTAAATGAGAAGTCTTGGACAAAATTCAAAGTTATACAATTCATGGGGGAAATGGATATCGGGAAAAACCCCAAAATCAGAATTATTTATTTCACTCCTAAAATCAGAAAAATATAATATTCCAAACAAGTAGCCCCATACTTTATTAGGAAAAAAGCTTCTGTACACTAATTTACACAGAAAAAGGTACACAAATAGTAAGCATACAAATGACTGAGTTTTCAGTGCACGTATGCTGTGAAACCCCCAGGTTGGGCTATGGAACATGTAGCACCACCAAGGCCTTCCGGTGCTCTTTTCCAGTCAATGTTAGCCTTGTAAAACCAACATTCCTAATTTCTACCATCGTGGGTGAGCTTTTCCTTGCCCTTTATATACTGGAACTCAGTTTAACGTAATTTTTTGCATCTAATCTCTAAGTATTAGTTTGTGAGATTTATCCAGTATATCATCATGAATGGAATTTTAAACGCTATGATTTTTCTGAGAACTTATACTATTTTGAAAACAATATAAAGTTAAGGTCTTGGGTGAGGTGGGGGGGAATAATCAAAATATTCTAAAAACTCAGAAAGTCCCAGAGAAGCCCACTGTAACAAATTTCTGTATGCCCCTAGAGCTTGCTCACCCACTCACTGCCTCATGGCATGGGTTTTTCTCCTCTTGAACCTTTAAGCAACCAAATTACACATTAAGGCCTCTGTGGGCTTTCCTGAACAAACAAGTGATTTTGCTACTAATGCAAATCTGAGAAAAAGGGAAGAGCAACTCTGCACCCAGGGAACAACAAGGAAAGAATAGTTACACAGGAATTACACTTTGAGAACTTTTAGTCATGGGTCAGACTCAAGACGTATAGGTGCTTACAACCAGGAGGGCCCCTACATGTACTCAACTGGCACCAACAGCCCATCTTTTTTTTTTTTTTTTTTTTTTTGCCTGGGT